ATATTTATTGGTAATAATAAAAGTAAAATTATTTTATATTAAAATATTGAAAAAAGAAAACAAAATTGTTACAATAGAAATGAGAAGTTACTCTTTTTTTTTAACCCATTCAAGTGTAAAAACCTCTAATAAATTACGTTAACGACAATGTCACTTGTTAATGAAAACTTTCTTCCGGGGATCATGTTAAACGCTTTCCTACTTTTACGACGCCATTGTTTGTTCGTCTGTTGAATATTAAAGATGCCTATTATAATGACTTATGAGTTATTGATTTGATTTGATACGTATCTATGTAGAATGTTTTGTTTGTTAATATTTTTTTAATTTAGTTAATAAAGAAATATGAGTATGAATAATCCTATCCTTTTAAACTCACACGGATCCTTATAAATTCGCACCGCGTACATGTATGTGTTGCATGTACCTATATATTAACAAAGGAAATATTGCGACAAGCTTTCAATAAGTACTGCATTCCATGACATCGAAACAATGAACATTTGTTCTGCGATTTTTTACATTTTGTAGGTTTTTGTGACATTAGGACGACTTAACTGTTAAGTTATACTTAATCAACTTTTACCACTACTGTTTAAAAAAAAACTATGGAAAACATTTATTTAAAATAGTCTGTTCTTTGAATAATATTCATGATTAATTTTAAACTTTTACGTTGTTTACACATACATATTTTAAATACTCAATCGGGATTAAAACGCGATGAAAAATATTTGCAGGTAAAAAGTACCTACATGCCTACCTACCTGCTTCTGCAGGAACAGTGTATTTAAAATAAAATTCATGTCGCAGCTGTCATTGCTAGGGTTACCAGATATGATATTTGTTTTCTCCCGATTTTTTTTGCTAAACGATGCAATCTTCTTTTGTTTTAATCAAACACTAAGTTGTATATATATACGTATATAAAACTTTTTTAAATTTATGACTACTGTATTTTCTTTAAAAACTTCTCCAACCATTTTTGAAAATTTCTTCAATTTTAATTATAAGATTATCTCTAAATTTTATTTAAAACACATTTTTACAATTTTTTTGTGAATTGATAACCATGTCATGGTTTTTTTACATCAAATAATGAAATATAGAAGTAAGCTCTATTAAAAACATATAAATTTATCTATAATTTTATTTTTTACACGTTTATTGATTTTTAAAACAAAAGTATATATATATTTTTATTATATCAATGTTAAACGTCCACTGCAGAATATAGGCCTAATAAGTGATGTTTTAAGAGTACTTGTCACGTTTGGCAAGCGGGTTGGCAAACGAAGTTAGGCTTTTCGTTTTTTTTTAGGCGTTTAAAAGTCGCTGTTCGTCCTTTTACCATTAATGCCCCTTTGTCGCCTCTAACAACACCCACTAGAAAGGAAATGGTGGCCCATTCTGTGCCGGGACCACACGGTGTTGCATAAAAGTATATATACAATCAATCAATTTGTTACCAGATATTTATTTTCTTTGTGGGAAGCATAAAAGTGGGCGATTATTCAAATTAGTGATGAATAAGTATATATTACACATTTATCTATGTAAACATAAATAGTCAGTAGGTGTGTATCGAGGACAAGTTTATAGTTCCCACGATCACAGCATGCAAATGGTATGATTTATAGCTGCATAATCGTTATATCATATCGCATACGTATAAATAATTTAATCACTGGATCTTTATCGAAAGGTTCACATGATGTATACAATCATTTAAAATTTCATCCCATAAAATAATCAACTTCAATTATGGCTACACAGGCTATTTGCTAAATAGTGCATGAACAATATCGTTGAAACTTATTAACTTTAGTTATTTTATCTTTTATAGAATTTTCTGGCTATTTAGTCATATAATTATTTATTTATTTTTCTGCGTTCTTATTATAAATTATACATAAAGAATTTAATTTGTTATTTAAAAGTAGTGGATTATTTTATATTCGTTCATATGATTCAAGAGAATTAAAAAAATAAAACAGAAATTAAAGCTAAATTTGATAAAGTTAATTTTAAATTTCAGCGTTGTTTACTCATATTTTAAATAAACTATCGGGACTTAACGCAATGATTATTTTTTCATTGCGTTTAAAATAATTGGACATAATTACACACTTTTGTTGATTGTTGATGTAATAAAATGAAGATCTTTAAAATTACATCAAAGATAAGATTAAATGTCCATTCGTCAAATGTGACGAAAAAAGGTACCCCGAATTCTGTATTTTTATGCGAAAAAAATGATATGATAACCTCGCTTGCTAGTGAGGCATGATTGGTGGAATAAAGATGAAGATTAAGTTAGATGGCCTATTGTAAGGAATTTACCGAAAACTCCTGGTAATTTAACCACAATAGTTTCCAGGGATTGTGCGGAGGTCGACCTACGATATTGTTAAATAATTGGTCCCACTAATCCCAATGGGGTTTAGTAGTACTTACATATATTCGCACGTGCACTGATGTCAGCTATTTATATGTATGCATTAGCTATTAATGACAGTTGAGGATCAAAGAAATCATTGTCTCATCATTATCATTATCATATCAACCGTTAAATGTCCACTGCTGAAGATAGCCCTCCCCTTATTCCCCAATAAGGGGCTAATAATTAACATGCTTAGCATGAGGATTAGCAACCGCATTTAATCTTTAGTAATGTTTTAAAAGGTACTCTCCTGCCCATTTTTCGATCATAAAATTCCCTTAAACACCCCTTACGAGACCCATGAATAAGGAAAGAGGCCTATTCTATACTGGGATCACACGGCTAATAATTGTATGTCGCGCAGTATTTTCGTCAAAATTAAACTAATTCTGGTAATTCTTTTAACTATAGATATGGTATACTCGCATATTGGTCTTGGGTATGTAGTTTTTATCATTAATTCTTTTTTGTATTAAAAATCTACCTATTCTGTTTCATCTCTGTGAATGTTGAGTACAACTATAATTGGACTGCAAACTTATAATGCTATTGTTGTATTCTATTGTTAAAAGTTTTGTTTGTAATCTGTTGTTGTGCCACAAAAATAAATAAATAAATCAAATATTAATTTTATAACTTAAATCCAGTGTCAACATTAATTATCATTTTCCATTGCAAAAATGTTGTGTAAACAGTTTTATATTCGTGTTTAACACAGCATCACGACGTCCCCATCAATTTCTATACCGATTGTCGTGAGAATTACCGAACAATAAACAAAGCATGAAAAGTCCATGCCCACAATACAACGACGGGTTAAAGACCGTTCATATTGGTGTGTAGCTTGTTAAGTAACGTTGGTGATCTTTTTTATTCTAAGATATAAATGACAAAACATTAATTTTGATTAGCCACGAAGAATTGAATCGACGAAAGGAAGATAAGCCACTTATCACGAAAATACATAACAGCCAGTTTGAAAAGGAGGAGGTTCTCAGTTAGCCTATATTTTTTGTTTATATTTTACGTGATATTTGTGACTATTATGAGTCGATTTTGTTAATCGATTTTTACTGAGTTCACTCCCATATTAATTAATTATGTGACTAGTGAATTGCTGATTTTTTGCAGATCATATTCTTAATCCATCTTTATATTTACAGTAGTAATAAAAAATAAATAATAATTTATCTTCTTAGTTTATTAGTATTATATGATATTAGTCTAAATACTTTTTTTTATACAACTTAGAATGGAAAACTAACTGACGGCCCACCTGATGGAAAGTTGTAACCGTCGCCTATAGACATGAGCAGTACTATGAACATAACAGAGTATACTATTTCGCCCATAATACCCCCCATGCGTTGCCATTCCTGAGGACTCAGGTGTTATTCCTCTGTACCCAGTAAATTCACGCCATATCCCACCCTTCAAACCGAAATACTTTTTAAACGTAATGGATGAAAATGGAACGGTATACCTACACACTGGTGCAGCACCAGTGAGTAATAATAGGATGAAAATAGGTCAGTTAACAAATTCATCACGAATTAACTACAACTGTTTACAAAGGGAGGTCGACCTGATAGCGCGTCTAAATTGTTAAGCACCAATCTTTATGAATTATGGCATATGTATCTACATATAAGTATTTAGGATAGAGGTGGACATTCAATACTTTTTATTCAGGTCATGCAGACAAAGTTAAGAACACAGCTTGTACAGTATGAAGACCGTGGCACCTGTACGTAGTTACTACTTAGTAATACAAAAGTCAAAGGTGAAATCTGCCTATTGCTATAGGTGTGGTTAAATGCAAAGTAGAATGTCAGAATAAAATATGATAGGCATAAAAACGACATTCCTAGTAACAAAAACCGGATCCACATAAATAGATATTAAGATAAATAATGTTACGAATGAAAAAAGGAGTAGTGGCGGAACTAAAATTTAATAAAAAAGATTTGGACATGCCTTATCTATTAAATAACGAAAATACCTTAAGTATTTATTATGTTATAAAATGGCTAATGTTAATACGATTGATTTTTAAAAGTTAATTACCTGTATTATATTCAATAAGTTCCTACTTTTGTTTCTCAAAGGATGGTATTTTTGTCTTGTTTTAAGCATAATGTGATCTCATTAATATTGTAGTAAAAGATTTCTAAAATCAATTTTCATCTATTTTTAGATTATATTTCATTAAGAATATACTAACAACATTAAAAATAAACTAAGTTTTGAATATTTAATATTTTTCAACACACCAACTATAAACCAACATAGATTGTAGAGAGTAGATATGAATGTAAATAAAAGTTGAAAAAAATCATTGAATTGAATAAATATTGCAAATGCATTAAAGTATTACTTCACTATACAATATGCATAGAACACTTAGACCAATAAAAACAAACAAATACCATGAATATATTGGAAAATAAGTCAGTATTTTAACCGCAGTGTCACCAGGTCGTCTAATAAATTTAAGGTTAAAAAAATCTCATATATAAATTATAATATGTGTGCAATCTTAAAAAGGTGTACTCACATAATCGGCGAGACTCTTCATGCCGTACGGGAACCGTTCCCGGTCGGGCACGAGGCGGCCGCGGGGGTCGCGCTCCCGCTCCGGCCAGCAATCGTCCACGTTCACATACTCGTATCCAACCGCCGCGTATCCCTCCGACACGAGGATATCCGTCATCGTGCGGAACAATCGGTCACTGGAAAATATTTACGATTAGTTTGTTTAATTAATTTCCTATAATATAATAATAAATTAATTACTTTATAATTTATTTATTAATTACAGAGAGACTGTACGAAAGTTTGTTTGTTTATTTGTAACATTGTTTTTTTATACAACTTAGAATGGCAAACAAGCTGACGGACCACCTGATGGAAAGTGGTAACCGTCGCCTATAGACATGAGCAGTACCATGGACACAACAGAGTAAACTGTTTCGTCCATGATACCCCCCTTTTACATTTTACATTACCATTTTACAGTAAAGTCTTAAATTATAGGATACAGAGTTCTTAAGAAAAGTATGAGTACGAGTATAATGGTGGGCTTATTCTATAAAAGGGATTTCTCTCAGTCAACCCTTGAACGTCTGATAGATATTGTGAATTACAGTCGTCGAAGGATACTTTTATCCCACTTGTAACACTGCTGTGCTTGCATGATTGTGTTTCGGTTTGAAGGGTGAAATTTGAGGGTACAGAAAAGGAAATATCAATAATGAGGAGGCAAGTCCTCATTTCTAACAGGTCCTTTTGGAAACTAACGTGGTTAAATCTTAGTGTAATAATCATGAAAAGGCCAATTAACCTAAATTCATTCGATGGTGCTTCTTCATTATATACTGTTTGCTTAGGCAGACACACTATTCTATCTTAATTAATTAAAAAAAAGTCCTCAGAAATTATAAGGTTAGTCGAAACATATCACAAATAAAAAAAATTTCAGTACGTTTTTTACCTCTTTATCCTGTAATATAAGCTAGATTCTGATTTACTGGAATACTATTATAAGAAGACTTGTATATTACTATTAGAACTAATAATAAAAAACACGATGTTTCATACTTGATCTTAGTTTACAAATCCCATCATTAAAAATATTGTAATAACATACATTAACACTCACCTAATACAATTGTCCGGATCATTTTTACAGTCTGTATTACACCTGAATCGTTCCCACGCGAGCCAGCCCATAGGTGGCGTGAGCGCCAGTCCATTGTCCAACCCCGAGATTTTCCCCAAAAGGCACAAACCGACACACACTGTCCACAGCCCTATACATGACTTCCAAGACGCCATTACTTCACTTAAAAAAAAACGCGAGAAATTAAAAAAGGTTTCTATCTTTCTAAAGATACTATCCTCATAGTTTATTTAATGCACTGTTTGATTTTGATGCACAAAATCACTATTTCACTGATAACACAGGCGTTGAACTGAAACGTCAGGGAAGGATTGACATGTCAGTCTATCAGTAAAGAGGTTACTGAGTAATGAGAGTTTTAATATGTGGTTCTTCGCAGCATCGGACGAGTTATCTGTAACAAAATATATTCATAATATTAATAACAACAAATAGTTTATCTTCTATGTACATATTCGATAATTCATTAGATGCAGCTATATTGATCTTTTGACTAAATAAAATTTAAATAAAAATAAATAATATACATAAGTAAATATTTGTTAATATTTTCTATAATTACGTTTAATAAATAATAAATTTAATTTAGTAAATAATTATTAATAAATATTATTGATAAAGAATAGTATATGTGGTGATGACTAAGTAGCTGTATATGGTGTCTCATATTGCTAAAATTAATAAAACTGAAAAGTATATTTTTGACACTACATTTTGTTTTTCTTAACAAAAAGACTTCAATACTGATATAGTACAGGCCCAAACCTATGTATTATGAAAAGAATTCTTAAAAATCAGTTCAAAAACTTTGACGTTTCTGATTTTAAGAACATCCAAAAAAATACCATCAAAATACAAAAAACAACCACTGTTTTAAAATCACTTAATTATAAAAGCGTGTCCGTGGATGTGAGTGACTCAGGACCGTTCTCTATGTCAGTCTATGGAGGAGGCTTATGTTCAGCAATGGACAGGCTGAGATGATGATGCTTAACCGAATTTAATAAAATTGTGTAAATATTTACTCGTTTAATCCAATTTGAGAAATAGAACAGTTTTTATCTCTAGGAAAAAATGTAGGTACATGGTAGAGGGCAAAGCAACGTTTACCGCGTCAACTAATAGTTTGTTAGTCTCGCTAAAATAAAAAAACGGCTTGACCATTTCGGATAATTTTATTTTTGTTTTGTTCGTTAGATAACAGGTATGGTTCGAAAGAAAAAAAGGCGAAAAAACCTTAAAGTTTAGCTGAATATCGTTAAATAAAAATACATAATGTTACATGACAATTGCTACTCCGAATTATATTTAAATAGTTGGGCATTATAGGTTAAATAAAGTTTACCGGGTTATCTAGTTTAGATATAAATATAACAACATTAGTGAATATCAATACATCGCCCGTGGCACACTTGATGTAGTAATTTGTTGATATCTCGTTACATCTGGGGGTCAGGCATATAGAGACCCATCATTAGTGACATCGCGCGGCTAATCACTAATAATAATACAAGACATAAAGAATGCAACATACATGCACTTAGATAAATTGTTTGTCCCAGAAAAACGTTGATAGTATCACAATAATAAATATGTTAATACCTTATAACATTTATATATCCGTAAATATGTGTCAAGTGCATGTGAACTATTGATCCTTCATCAACATTATTATAGCCCATTAGGTCTTTTTAGGAGGAAGGATTTATTAGTAATGGGGATTAGTAGCCCCATTGCTAGCAATAGACTGATATCTACGCAGCTACTCTGGAAACTATTGTGGTTATTTCCACATGAATTCTTTAATATGAGGCAATTGTCTTGACTGCATTCTCACCTACGATTATCCACTGGTACTTCCCCAATGTATAGGTTATACATATCAGTAACTTACCAACAACGCAGACGGAGTTACCATTCCATTGTCATCTTTTTGAATATTCTATTAGTCCCTTGGAAAAAAAATTCGACATTGACACAGAGGGATCTTTGACTTAATATAATGTAGTTACGTATTATGGATAGATGTCTAGTAATGGACCAATAGGGGATTTCTACAATTAAGGTATGAAGTAAACCAGTTGACTGTATTATACTCGTATTTACCTACAATCCTTATAAAATTTATTGAGGATATATTCAGCTCTTGTATGTTAATTAGGCACGAAGCTTTCCACTACATCTGACATTTAAAAATAGGCGTTATTGCAACAGAGGTATGGTGTATATTTTTAAAGTATGCCTGATGCAATTTTTTCTCATGCACTATACAGTGTCGTCTCATATCGTAACAGTTATATGAATATATTGCTACATTACAGCCTAGATGTAGCAGCCGAGACTTGTGTCTTCATACATCATATTACGGTTACGTAATAGCTCGTTGTTTGTGTTAATATCTCTAGCTAAGCGCCATGTTACACTATCAAATATATAAGACCATATCTAAATCAATTAACTAAGGTAATTAACGCACTTTCGATAACAATAAAATGTTTTATAGTACGTATCTTTCATACTTTAGAAATGATCTAAATGTTTGTTTAATATTTTAATTTTTTAAAGTTTTTGTGACATTTATTGTAATATTTATTCGTAAAATTTATAAATTGAAAATGTCACTTTTATTTGAAAAAGTTACAGCCGAGTTTCCTATCTATTTTTTTTTATTGCATTTTAAATTGGGCAGTAGTATCATACTGAGTGACTGAATAAGTTTAATAATGTTTCTATTTGGTATATTTATAAGTAAGATTAATTTTATCAAGAGACGGTTCTGTCACAGACTAGTTATTACTAGTAGACTAGTTATTATCATTAGCACAAGTTATTACCAATCATTGAAAAGCAACTTCGTATTTCGTATTCGTAAAAAGAAAACTTCGTATCCTTTGAGTTTTGGCCATGTACTTGATACTTATACTCGACAAATATCACCTTCTATATCTAATTATAATGAGCAAAATTACTGGCAAAAGAAGGATCGATCGCAGACAAATCCGGGCTCCGAATAATTCCATCTCCCAAGGACAGATTCCATGAGCTTATAGCCAACCTTCACTAGTTGCAGAGGCACTGTGAGAAGAAGAATTTTCTCAATATAGGTATCCTATTATATAATTAAAAATATATATATATTTTTCTATTGTACATTTTTGAATAATGCAATATAACGCTAAAAACAATGATTTTATAATAAAAGAAAGAAAAAACTTTAAAATATCATTGCTAATAACCGTTTAAATATCAGTTATTTGAATAAGTTATTTTTGTTTCACAACACTATTTATATGTATATGTTTCGGATGGGAAACCATAAGCAACGGTATCAAGGTGAAGGTGAAGTATTTTCGTACCTATGAACGGTTCGCGTATTTTCTTCTTCATGTATAATTTAGCAATATATTTAATATGTAGACCCAGATATGGATTACATAGATGTCGCAAATAATTACAAGTACGCTTCGCGTGTCCATTTTTTATGCTAAATAGACTCAGAACAGTCTCTAGATATTTAAACAGTAGTAATACTGTATCTTTACTAATATTATTAATGTTAAAGGGAGTTTATTTGTTTATAACATTACAACGCCTTAACAGTTTAACTAACTATTATGAAATTTGGTATATGGGATGGAGAACATAACTGTATCCCGCGACTTTGCCCGAAGTTGTATTAAAATGTTGTATGTATCGAAACCTATCAAAACTAATCTTTTAACTTTAGGCAAGAATTGACCAAAAACATGCAAAAAAATTAAAATCTTATTGGTATGATTAATTTCAGAGATTAACGCGTTGAAACAAAATCGTTTGTTTTATATAATAATGTAGATATAGATTACATAGCGCATACATTATTATATATATTTACTTGTACGTAAATGAATTATTGTTTTCCATGAAAATAACATCTGTTATTATCAATTTCCTTGCACAGTAATCAGAAAAACTATTATTTTCAATTACACGATGTCACGCTAGATTAACGTAATTATATGTTGGAATATTAGATCAGATCTATTGTCTGACCTAACATATAACAAGGACGTTATGCTCCATACTAAAACGACTTCAATCGTCTACGCCGTAGAAAAAGAATCAAATTATTCTTAATCTATACCTACATACACACACACGTGATAAATGACGAGATGTTTTATAAATATTTTACATTGTAAAATATTTAAATTTAGAATACGGAATCGCATATTTACAAATTGTTGTTATATTGTTACAAAATTAAAAGAACACCAACAATGGAGGCTAATCTACTGATTGTAAAAACAATTATTTAAATCGATTCAGAATTAGTGACGTAGTTATGTAAAAAAAAGCAACAAATAATGATAAATTGAGAACGCCTTTTTTTGTAAATTGTTTAAAAACATAAACCTGTTTTGTTACTACAGTTATAAATAACTAAGGATTGTAGAAACTATTAAATATTAGTGAAATATACATATGTAATGACAAATTAGGAACATTTTTTTTTTTTTGGAAAACGTTTAAAAATATAAACCTATGGTTTTTATTACTACAGTTGTAAATATCTAACAACTAAAGAAAATATCTTTAATATAGTTTAATAATTAATATTAGTGGAATAGACACGTGTAAATGTATAAGCAAGAATCTAAACATTTTATCATAATCAATTTTTTTGACTAAAAAAATTAAGAAAAAAAATTTTGTCTTCCATAGTAACTTAATTAATGAACATAAAATTTTTTCTTTATTCTTTTTTAACCCATGTCAGTTTCATTCTGTATTATTTTTCAATCATTATAAGAAGTGGTAGCCACATCATTAACATTCATACATATTTTTACATTGTAACTGGGTATATCTATGTTACTTTAATAGGCAGGTACTAATTGCAACATAACAATTAAACGATCTAAAACAATTAAAAAAGATCTAATCAGTCAATTGTTACTTGTAAAGTATCTGTAACTACAACAAATACTAAGTTTTTTTTTTTTATAACAATGAATACCTTAATGCATTTTCTTCAAATCACTGGTTATTTATGAGTGATTTGAAGACGTTAACGTAAATAAATATGCAACCGAGATTAACTAATAATAACTAATTCAAGACCAATGATAATAAAAAAAAAATTGTATTTCATGTACATGTGCGTTTGTATTGGTCCTTTTATTCTTTAAGTATAATAAGTGTAGTATTATAAAAAAAAATTATGTCTGTCATTTGTTACTCTACATAAAAATGGATGAGGTTTCAATTAGTATACATTCTTTTTTAATTAATGAAGATGTAAAATAATATAGCCAGATTACTTAGATATTTTATTTATAATTTTTAGTAATAAATTGCATTATATAAGAACTTTAGTTGAATTAAATGCTTTAATGCTACACCTGTATATTT